TATTTGTAAAAGAAAGCTCAAACGAATAACAGTCATCCTGAATGGGACAATGCTCAACTTCTTATTTCACAGCTCAGTCTAGTTCATGTTTCAAATTCGTACCAAAGTTCGCTTCACCGCCATGTAGGATGAAAAAGCAGACGGGACGAAAATAACAATCACAGCGGGAGATGACGGATGAAAGTATGAATTGAGTAGCTCTCTGTGTTTCAAAGATCAAAGTCCCAAATATTTCAACACCGTTCAATTTAGGCCAAGATAAGGGAATTTACGCTACGAAGAGTTGAAATCGAAGAACACGAAACGAAAAAGAATTCGCACTTTCAAATGCGCAGAATACAGCGTCAGAAACTACAAACAGCTGTCACAGCCATTGGTTAGCCGATGAAGTATTGTCGCTAAGGCAAGTTCAAAGTAATTCCGTTGCAACAGATGGTTTTGACCTGTCCAGTTTCGGTTTCGACTCCATATGTTGCGCAAGTGCAGAGCATGCGCACTAACTTACGAATGCAAGCTATATACAAAGTGCTGATCGCATAATAGCAGCTTTTACCGCTCTGATAAAGCCATTATCGTACAGTGATTGAACACGACCAGACTGTGTGAAAAACGATGCCAAAGATGGCGATTTGTGTAGGCTAATTGCTACTGACCATCGCTCGACAGGGTGTCTGCTACTGAGTTGTTCAATGGCGATCAATATGTATCCAATTAATGTGGAGCGCTCTTTCTTCTTCTTTGGATCACCTTCGCGGTAGAGATTAATGCACACTTCGTCCATCTTCTGTAGCATTCTGAAAATTAGCAATATCTCATAATTCAAGGGTCGATCACATGGGAAAACCTACGTAAAATCGAAGTGTTCTCCCCAGAAGACATTGTCAATGAGCGGTTTTGATGACGTTCTAGCATACAACGTCTTATCCAGGCACAATTCGCAGTAATACCTGGAAAAACGGAAAATTACAAAGACGTTCTAGGGTTGTCTCAAGTGGGACCAACCTTCTCTTAGCAGGTACTCCTTTCGCTTCAAGAACCCATAGCTGTAGAGCGTTCTCGACACGACGTTGCGCGTCACGCCGTGGGTTCATTGTACGGCGTAAACTGCAAACAAAACATCATTCGCTTCAGACGTACAACTTCCAAACGACTTCATTCACTCAATGGACATCAGAACAAAGAGATGCAAGGAGCTTATGGCAAACAACAATGTATTATGGCCGCATTTGCACTATGTGAAGCTCCGAAAGCAACCCGATGTGCTGTTGTGCTGTCGGTGAGTGCCAGGATGCATAATTAGGTAATATGACGGTCAGAACGGCCAGGTGGTACGTCCACTACCGATCCATGGGCCATGCACAAACAACAAATGACCAGCAGGTTGGCGCTATTCTCGCAAGGGCTCTGCGAACGTTGTGCACCGTGAGAGATTGAGGAATTTCAGCAATGTCCACCTTAAGCTTTCCCGAACACTTCAGAAATTTCCACCCCACCTAGCAAAAGAAAAAACAATGCAAAAACTGCAAACTTGCACTGAAACTATGTTCTGTTTCAAATTGGATTCATCAAAACATTCTCTACAACCCTCTCAATAGATCTACTTCACTCAAAGATGACAGTAAATGGGGGTGAAGGTACTCTCCTTCAAAGTGATTCCAATAGTGGATTTGCGCATTTTCGTACGGTAAAAACAGCTAGGCAAACAAAAACACCATTCCAGATACGAGACATCCATTTCCGAAAAT